TGAAGGCACCGCCTCCCGCTCCGCCCTCTTTGCACAGCTCAACCAGGGAGAGGCCATCACCAAAGGTCAGCAGAACAGAAATCGAATTCTGGTCCGTGAGTCAAACTTCATCCAGAGCTGCTGCTGCGTGTATTCACCCAGCTCCCGATGCATTTTTAAGTTGCATTTAAGCAGCTGAGGTCTTTCTGAGGCTTTTACTGAATCTGATGGATGGGACTGCAACCCAAAACCTCCTTTAGATACAGCAGCACCCAAATACGTTCAGCATACTTGATACTCACACCATTTATTTAGAGATATTCTTTTAATTTGAAGGCAGCCAGACTGGACACCATCAATCTCCAGTAGCTGGTGAACCTCTAAGTTGCAATTGCAATAAAAATCTATCCCCCTTTCTGTAACACATTTGAGGGATTAACTTGTGTCAAAATGTGTTACCTGTTAGGTGCAAAGATATGGCTTACAGCTCGGTGGGGACTACAATAATAAAGCTTTTTGTATTAGTACCAGACAGTTGCAATGCAAGTGGACAGTTGTGAGTTTAAATATAGACAATTGATAGACCTGCCTTTAATGCTGTAGGGATAGGTCAAATATTGTAATAAATTAGAAAAATAATCTTGGTTTATGGATGGAAAAATATGATATAACAAGCTCTCAGAGCTCGCTACAGACTGAAAGGGGCAAGAAGATGTTGTAGCATTTCCTGTTCAAGGTGCAAAGACAGCTCATCCACACTAAAAGAGGTTTGGTAGGAACTGCTAAAAATATGTAGGCAGTTACACTTTAGGTTGTTACCCAGGCAAACCTTGAGGAAATAAAAAACATAAATTCACAGAATAATTAAACACAATTAGAAACAAACCTTTCCTGCTTAAGTATGAACATCCTTAGGACTGGAAACAAACTCTCTTTCATAAACACCCTTTTATTTTTTCAGGGCTTCGACACGTCTCTGATGACCAGAAGACTCACAAGAACCCCAGCCTGCGTGCCCAGTGTCCATCTGTTCGCTCTCCAACAAAAAGCCATACTCCAAGTCCCACCTCTCCCAAGAACTCCCCGCAGCAGAGCCACGCCCCTGTCCTGGAGCTCGAGGGAAAGAAGTGGAGAGTGGTGAGTTCCACCTCAGAACTGCACCCTACACCCTGCAAACCAGGCTGAGCACTGAGAGTGAGTCTTGAAAAGGCTGTGCAAGAGAGGGACAACAGTGTTACCACAGGACACTTTCTCCAGCTTTGTTAACCAACAGAATTACACCTTTATTTTTCAGCACCAGTTCCACACAAACATGTGTCCCATGCTTAAAAGCAGAGAAGTGTTTTCCTTTTGCTTAATCTACAGATGGAAGAGATGTACTTGTTTAAACTTTGGGAGTTAATTTATGTAAGCATATGCCAAGGAATATATCAGTGAAAATTTGCATGACTGTGTTGGTTAAAAGGGGGAGGAAACAATTCACACTTTAGCTGTGCAAAAGGTTATGTACAATCATTACTGGAGAGCTGAGATGCCACAAGGTGCAGCCACTGTCTGCCTGGGTTATTGTGCCCTCGGGTTATAGTACCTGGAACTTTCCTTGTGGATGTCTGGTCTTTCCTGGACATAGATGGAGCATCAGTGTCTTTTCATGCTTCATAATGAAAGGAAATTTCACAGAATCATAGAAGGCTTTGGATTGGAAGTTGCCTTTGCAACAAAAGTAATGGGCTTTGTCATGGTCTATGCTCACTTTTGAGTTCTGCAGCTCTAAAAGATACATGTTTCATCTAAGAGTGAATTAGGTGAAATATCTGATCCCCAGGCAGATCAGACTTGTAAGCCACAGGAAGGATATTGCTCTGTTGTAACTGAAGATGCAATGACTCGAGGATAAGTTGCACTAAACTCTGTCTGACTGCCAGCTAGTTAAAGACAACCAATTAAATAAACTTTCTTTTGAAACAGGAATATCAAGAGGATAAGAATGACCTGGTCATTAACAACACTGAACTGAAGCAAGTGGCCTACATTTTTAAGTGTAACAAATCTACACTTCAGATAAAAGGAAAAATCAATTCAATTACTATTGGTGAGTGGATAGTTCAGCTGGGCTGTAAATGCCAGTCTTAAAAAACCTGACTTAAGTGATTAATGATGTATCTGAATCATTCCATTCACTTGAAGGGGTTGATCAGTGAGTAAAGTCACTGAGCTATGCAGTGCAAAGCCAGGGAATTTTCACAGTTAATGTAGCAGGTGAGCACATGCTTTGATCTTGCCTTTCTCACTTATGGTTGCTTTTCTTTTAGACAACTGTAACAAGTTTGGCCTTGTGTTTGATAACGTTGTGGGAATCGTGGAAGTGATCAATTCCAGGGATATTCAGATTCAGGTAAATAGCTATTTAAAAAATAAAGAGAACAAGCAGGGGGGAAAAAAAGCCCAAAGTGTAGCTACAGAAGGTTTTTAAAACACACAGGAGCACCACAAATAAGAGATTGATGCATCCAAATGTATCTTCATATGCACTAAGTTCAGAAAATGCCTGTGAAAACTACTGACCATCACTGAACTGACCTCCCTTAGCCCAGTCCCTTCTGTTCCAGTGACCCTGAGAGATCTGTACACTGGAAGAACTGCTACTTCTGGCCCCAGTTTTCTTGCTTTCATGCTAAACAGCTCCTAGCACATGAAAGTTCAGTGGCACTATGAACAAATCCTGGCAGTTAGCCAACTAATTTCTAAGCCCAGGAGATGTTTTTTTTTCTATATCTCTAATTCTCCCAATGGAAATGTTCAAACAGACTGTCAAAGGACAACAAAATGACATAAAGTGAAATTAAGTGCTGGGATTTTGCAAATCTCCCCTGTCAGCAACATGACACATGATTAAGTAATGTAGTCACTTGCCTGCAAACAGACTGTGAGCCTCTACTGGTTTCATCTGTGATAACCAGTAAGCAAAGCTTCATCACAGATCATCTTCCTTGTTCTCATGAAAAGAAAATACACGTATTTTAAATCCATATATTGACCTCTCTTTTTGGGAGCACTTGCCCTGTTCAAAATACAGTCTGCTTGACATACACAGCACTTCATTCTTCCCAATCTGAAGAGATCTAACCATACATGCTCGGATACTGGGTTGTGTCCAACATACACCACAGTCTCAAGAAGGTACTTCAGAATGTATTATTTTAAGTGAAAAAGAAAGGAAATGTTAATTACATTATACCAAACTGCCAGTCTTCAAAGTGAGGCCCTTTACTTAAAAGGCTGTGCCTGCTGTATGACATTAACTAGACAGTCCTGCTCCAGGCTTCAGCAATACTGGTCACAGCCACCCCAGGGAATAACAGTGAGATGGTTTCTGTATTTTGAACCTGGTGTAAGTGACTGGCATTGCTCCCAGCTATGCATCATCTTCTGAACTGTAACAAGCAGTTTCAGTCATGATCAATATGTGTCTTTTTACAGCAGAGGCAGCTAAACATCCCAGGCATTTGAGTGTTTTTAAAAAATAACTATTATTTTTATCATTACCTCTAGAACTCTTCATGAAAGCTTATATCTTCATTTGTAATCAAGAGTGAAACCACAGCTTGTTAATACTCAAATAAAGAGGAAATATCTTTTCTAAGAATTGGAATTCTTTTGATTAAGCAGGTTCTATGAATATTGCATAAGGCTGCCAGGCCATGGAGCAGAGTGGAGTTCCACTTAAGAAAGCAGAGTCTGGCTGTAGGTTACATGCTGCCTGAAGCAGGCAGCTTCTGCAGGGTTTGAGTGTGCCAAGTGCTGAGCACCTCAATTTTCTCAGTATTTTGAAGACCTCAGCTTACCATTTCCAAATACATGATAAGTTAATGCCACAAATTTCAGTAAATTCATCCTACAGATTTTGCTAGTCACTTCAATGCCATGTTCCTTGGCTTTCTTGTCTCTCAGAGGTATTTTTTTTCATTGCCAGGTGTTTGAAAAATGTATTAACCAGACCCACCTTTTGTTCTCTATGACATGAGAACCCATTAAAGAAAAGAGAGGTTACAATGCTCTGATCCACTGAGTAGGTGAGGCTGCAGGACCAGGGTGGGATGCAAGAGGATAGGCCACTCCTTCTTTGTTTGCTGTCACATTTAAGGGACTGAAGCTGCAAATACATTCTCAACCTGGATGCTGGGAGCCACTCTTCCATTAACAAGTCCAGGTCTCTCCTGTGCTGTTACTGGTTTATGGCTCAGAATAACCTCTGCCCTTTGGATGCATTCTCCAGAGCCCACTGCTGCCCCTGCTAGGGAAAGGAGGGACAGGAGGAGGAGGAATTTATACTGACAACCAGTGAGTCAGACAGCCATGAAGAAATCTTCTCGTTTGTAGAACTGTAAACAAGAGAAGATTTCCCTTTCTCTCCTCAAGTAAATCTTCTGCTTGCTTCTAAAGTGACATAAGAAGTATTTTAGGGGTTTAATTAAATTGATCTCAGTACTTTTTTAGAACTGGAGCTTCCCTGGCAGGAGTGAAAATCCTTTCCTATTGTATGCTGTAAAACCAGGAAGAGCTTTGAAGTTTTCAGAGCATATTCCAAATCACTTGTTGAGCACTGCTGTATGCTGGGATCTCTCATTAGCCCTGACTGGGTTGGAGTGGACACGTTTGATTTCTTAACCAGTTCAGACTGTTGAATAAGCCTAAATATCAGCACAGAAGTGTCACTGAAATTAGAGAGAATCAGGGAAGCACTTTCATCAAACTATATATTAAAAGCTTGCTGTATTTGTTGTGGTTTAACCCCAGCCAGCAAATAAACCCCACAAAGTTCCTCCTCAGTGGGATGGGGAGGAGAATTTAAAAGAAAGAAAATGGAAAATCGTGGGTTGAGAGAAGAACAGTACAATAATTAAAATGAAATAAAATATTATAATATCTATTATAATAATAGTCATGAAAAGAAATAGAACAAAGAGAGGGGAAAATAAAAGCCAAGAAAAGAGAAGTGCTGCACCATTCAGTTGCTCTCTGCAGTGAGCTGACCCCACCAGCTCCCCCCAGTGTATATATGCCATGATGTTCTGTGGTGTGGAATATTGCCCTGGCCAGTCTGGCTCCATTGCTCTGGCCATCCTCCCTCCAGCTTCTGGTGCTCCTGCACACCACCAAACCATGGGAAGCTGAAAAGTCCTTGATTCCTTAGCAACAACTAAAACCATCAGTATATTACCAGCATTCTTCTCATACTGATTCCCACACTGAATCCAAAAGCCAGCACTGTTCTAGCTCCCAAGAAGAAGTCAGCTCTCTCCCAGCTGAAACCAGGACAAGGTTGTAAGCTCGCTGCTCTTTACAGATCTTTGTTACCACCAGCAAGAGTTTTCAGTGTCCAACAAATCAAATCTAAACATCAAGCAGGCAGCTGACACACAGATCAGATGATGTTGGCCAAAATGAGACCTGGTAGGCAATGAGGATTTTATAAGCTATATTTTTGTGTGCGTTTTAAGATCTGATATTAAGTAGATTTTATTTTGCAGGTGATGGGGAAAGTGCCAACCATTTCTATCAATAAAACAGAAGGCTGCCACATCTACCTCAGTGAGGAATCATTAGATTGTGAGATTGTGAGTGCCAAGTCATCTGAGATGAACATCCTCATCCCTCAAGATGGTGATTATGTGAGTGAGATATTTTTAAAGCTTCCCTCCCCCTTCTCTACTAGTCTTGGTAGCTAACAGCACTTAAACTAGGAAAGAAACTAACATACCACATATATTACATCACAAAAATAGAAGATCAAAGCCACTTAGATTTCTGTGTACTGCAATCTCAGCTCTCCGTGCAGGAAGAAATCCTAATTTTCTGGGGCAAAAAGTAATTTCAAAGATCTGACATGATGCTGTTTATTTCCATTTTGATAGATAATGGCTTCATCTCCTGTCCATTTAATTCTTCTTTTATTTCTAAACATAATCTCCTAAAGAAACTCACTTCATACAAGAGCACTCAAGCCTGAAGTTGATGGGGCTAAAACTAAGATAAATACAATACTACTACAGCTGAAATAATACAGTATAATTGTTTTTCCTGAAGCTGTTGCTACATGGGGAGCATGTGTAGTACTTTCTAGGATTTTCAACAAACGTCCTTAAAAGCCACTTAAACAGCTGCATTTTCCTGCTCCTTTTCTGTTCTAGTAAAATTTTCATACTGTGCCCACCAGCGCTTCTAGTAAAGTCATGCTGTCACTTCACACACCAGCAAGGGATCATGCAGGCAAAGCATTCTCTTACTAGGTTCCTAATTTCCTTCAGAAATCAGGGATTTTCCTCCTAATTTGCCACAATTTGAAACTGCATTCAGTGGCCGTAGACAGGACTTAGATTTCTCGTTATTCTTTTGGGTTAGAATTTTGTTTAGTAGAGGGGTTTGGGCTTTGAAAAAGAAAATATGTAACACCAGAATTCTCATGCTCTGCAGTTCCAAAAGTGACTGCTTGGATGCACAGCTTCGGATAACTAAAAATGGAACATCTTTCAGTGAGAATACTTTCATAGAAATAGTCACCTAGAAAAAAAAGGTTCTTTTGATCAGTCTCACCTCAGATCACCGTATCATCTGAAATAAGTGGATATCAAAATTCCTGTGTGAGATCTGAATGAAAAATCTCTTCCCTTCACGTTGTTTTTTGTTTCCTGGGAACAGAGAAAGACCCAATGACTTCTCCCATCCTTTCACCAAATACACAGAATGGAAGGAGACCTTCTTTGACGTTCTGCTTCATTTTGTGTATGCCACAAGGGATGAGGAGTCTGTTGACATGTAGCACTCTTGGAATGAAAGGGGTTTTAACTTTGTTCTTTCATATTGTAATCCTGCTTTCGTCCTTAAAATTATACTGCTTGCTAAGTCCCCATATCTAAATCCTTTCTACTGTCTTCCAACCCAGACACTGATGGAATCTAAAGTCATTTCTGACATGAGGCTTATTTACTTAGTTGTTCCAAATAATGGTGTGAGAGGGATTATTGCAAAGCAGCACCATCCCAAGGCTATTTGAAACTGGGTAGCAATAAGGCTCTTTCCTGTGTGGCATTGCAAAATAGCTTCCTAGGGTAATGAAGAAGGCTTCTCTCTAATCCTGGCATGTCTGAGCTATCAATGCTTTCTCAGTCATGTAGCACTAATAGTATTCCACCAGTTTTCATGGGGTATCCACTGTTTATTTAACCACCATTGTTGCCATTGTTTCTCCCCAGAGAGAATTTCCGGTTCCGGAACAGTTCAAGACAGCCTGGGATGGATCTAAGTTGGTCACTGAACCCGCAGAGATCGTGGGCTGACCTCCCAAGGCCGCCCGGCGCTCGCCGACCGTGCCCAGACCCCAGCCAGCACTAACAAAGCAGTGACACAGATCTAGAAGTAGCAGCAGCTCCTGCTGCTGTGATAGGCCTTCAAGCGTTAGCTCTGCATGCTCCAGGCAGCGGCACGCCCGGCACCCCTGCCTTAGGCACCCCAGCTCTTCTCTTTCCACGCTGCCTTCACACGCCGTTTTCATTCTGAGTTATTTCATGTGAGTGTGATAGATTAAACCCCCTGCCCTCCAGTCGCATCACTGCTTTGAAACATTGTGGACATTAAGCCAAAATACTGCATGATACACTTGTTATCATCTTGCTTCAGTGCATTCCTTTTTCTGTTTCTGCTAAGCCAAACGGCATCAAGACTTCAAGATGTTTATTTTTACTTGTTGAGCAATTCAGTAAAAATTAACCCCTAGAAAGTCTGCAGTTCCTTCTGGTTCTGTGGCAGTCACAATGGGGTTTGTTTTAAACAAGCAAAAAAGGGCAACTTTCAGCAATACATTTTGCTAACAGAAGATTTAGTAAACACCTGGTATTTTAACCAAACGCTTTTCTAATATGTGTATTTAGAAGATCTTTATGTTTTCTGTGAGGTAAGATTTTACTGTGGTCCACAGATGTGCTGTTGCCCTCTCGTTTCTTGCAAATTAGAAACTTCTAAACTAAAGCCTCATCTAAGCTAAAACCTTCCAGCAAATCACTTGAAGGTTTTTTGCTCCTTGGATTTCTTTTTTTTTCTGGTGAGACAATCTCTCATTCTTCAAAATCTCACTCTGTATCTTGCACCCATTTCAGAAAACTGGGGGAGGCCTGTGTGTCAGACACCACCTGGTTTCCTTACTAATAATGTTCCTTTAAAATAATGTAAAAACATCTTCCAATTTCTTCCCCACATTTGTAGGACTTACTCAGTTTCAAATATGTACACAAAGGAAAGCCATAGCTTTATGTCACACTTATTCTGAGCCCAAATAAAGGGGTGATTTCCTGTTTAGCCCTGGGGTTCTACTTTATAGTCCCTACTGTACATGCTTTTTTAACAAAGGTGGAGCATTGTATAAATTTGTACTATTTCAGCACATAGTACCAATAAAATTTTAAAAATTGAACAGGTCAGCTTATGTTTTTGATCACTTGTAATACTTTGTAACAGTGAAATCACAGTGAGACACTTGCAGAGCTAGTTACGAGCTAAATTTTGTGCCTAATTTACCTTGGAAGTACATTAATTCTTGAGGGTTTTTAAGTATATCTTTGATTGTGAACCCTATACAGTGCAACCAGTAGTGCTCATTCCATAAGGTTTTGCTATCGGGTGTTTAATCTCTATGTATAATGTGTTTGCTTTAATACATGCCATTTTTTCAACAGTAAACTTCTTATGAAATAAAAAGGAAAACGTACTTGTTTAAATAGAAAGTTGTTCAGAGCTTGCTCCATTGCAGTGTTTGTCCTAAATACTTTCACCTTCTTAAATGCTGTTTGAAAGGCTTGATTGAGAAGTAGCTCCTCCTCTCACTTCATTCAACATTGTCACTTTTTCTGCCATAACCCACCAGACAGTGACTAGCAGCTATTCTGCAGGCTAACAAATAAACCTGAAGTTCTGTGTATGCAGCTTGGGTGACAACCAGAGAACTGAGCTTCTCATGATTCTCACTCCTAGGTACATCAGAATCTTCCAGAGGTCATGTCTAGGGAGCTGATCATGACCTGGTGCAAGCTTCCTTCTATTTTAGTTTGCTTTCTGTTTTAAGATTTTCCCCTTGTTTTCCTGTATGGCTTTGGATGTGTCCCTCCTGTGTTCATGAACCACAAGAGGTCTGCTCCGTATGGCACTTGGGTGTGCTTCAGATCTGAAAAATGAGCACTGCAAACTTGTACTCTGTACAAGCACCTCATGAAGTCCAACAAGGGGAACTGCAAAGTCCTGCCCCTGGACAGGAACAAGCCCATGCACCAGTATATGCTGGGGGCCCACCCAGCTAGAGAGCAGCTTGCAAGAAAAGGATCTGGGGGTGCTAGTGGATGTCAAGTTGACTGTGAGCCAGTGATGTGCCCCTGCAGCAAAGGTGGCTGATGGTGTCCTGAGCACTGCCAGCAGAGTGAAGGAGGTGATCCTTCCCCTCTGCTCAGCACTGGTGAGGCCACACCTGGAGTTCTGCACCCAGTTCCAGCCTCCCCAGTACAAGAGAGATGACACAGACATACTGGAGAGAGTCCAGCAAAAGGCCACCAAGGTGATGAAGGGACTGGAGCATCTCTCCTCTGAGAGAGCTGGGGCTGCTCAGCCTGGAGAAGAGAGGGCTCAGGAGAGACCTGTAATGTGTATGAATACCTGAAGGGAGAGCAGAAGGACAGGCAGGCTCTTCTCAATGGTGGCCAGTGGCAGGACCAGAGGCAGTGGGCACAAACTGGAACATAAGAGGTTCCCTCTGAGCTCCAGAAAAGACATTTCCACGGCGAGGGTGACCGAGCAGAGGCACAGGTTGCCCAGAGAGGTGGTGGAGCCTCCCTCCTTGGAGACATTCAAAAGCTACACGGATGTGGTCCAGGGCAACTGGCTTCAGGCAGCCCTGCTTGAGCAGGGGGGTTGGACCAATGACCTCCAGAGCTCCTGCCAACCTCGGCCCTTCTGTGACTCTGTGATATGCAGTTATTTAGAATATTGGTTACTAAGAATTAGTGGAAATTAGAAGTACAGCGGTAGTAAGTCCATGTACCCACCAGATGGCAGAACCCAGCTGAGGGCCAGGCCCTCACAAGCTCTAGCTGCTAATGAAAGAAGGGTGAACCACAATATTTGCAGAGGATGTGGACACTGCTCGTCAAAGAAGTGGGAAATTCTACCTCTAAAAGTCACTGTAAAAACGTCTAAAGATTACTTTGATTTTGAAATTATCATCTTGGTGAAATGAGAAGGTTCGATTAGGATGAACAAGGAAGAAGAAACAACTACTTGTTACCAATGATTAAGTTGATCTTTTGGTATTTTGAGCACTGCTAAGCATATCTCCATGAAAAGCACATTTTAAAAAAAAAAAAAACAAAAAACAACAAAAAACCCACAACAACAAAACTGATTGAACTTAAAAGTAATAAATTTAACAGGGCTGCTGAAGGTAAAGAGGTAATTTCAAGCCTGCATTTGAAAATGAGGAATCTTTCCAATGTCCTAGGGAATTGCTAAGGCTTCCCAATGCCATAGTTATTATCCAGTCCAACCATTTTTGTTCTTATTCTGAGTCCTCAGGTGTATCTGGATCTGCACGAGTTCCTTCAACGTTACTGTACTAGCTGAATGTTCATAAACCCAGGCATCACTTTTCCTCCCCAGAGATCAAGGCTTTGTCCATTTGAAATCCTTCAGGGGCTCAACTCTGTATGCACCCTTAGTGCACCCTCCTGACGTGCTGTTCAGCTGTGCTCCTTCTAAAACCTGGAAGCAGCTGCCTCCAGACAAGTGGAGGTAATGGTCACTCAATTACACAATATGCTGGCAAGCAGAGCAGTTACTAAGAACATAAAGAACATGCGAGGCAGATTCAGTTCCCCCACTGAAGGTGTTGTGGGCTCACTGCTGTGGAAATGCTGCCCAGAAGGAGCTATTGCCATCAGAACGTGCCTATAAACAGGTCCCTGAGATATGAGGCAGTCATTAGATAACAGCTGTAACTAACACTCCCCAAGGAATGTTCTGAGTACCAGAATAAAAGAACCTGCTCCCTCTTTCTGATTGAAATAATCCTGAAAAATCTTTTTGGGTACCAAATTTTTTGTCAAACAGAGAACAATCCCTACGCCACCACCCAAAACTCAGTGGTGATTTTCTAGGCTTAACCCCACTTCCCTACATTCTGCTGCATGCCAAGGACCCTACCTGATGACTGCTGGCCACCAAAGACTCTTCTCCCCCAAAGCCCTAGCTCCAGTGCTGCTCCACCAGAGGCACACTCCCAGCTCCTCTCTGGGAACACTAAAGGATGGGACAGGGAATTGGGTAACTGCTTCCGAGTGCCATGCTCCTGAGTAAAGATGGTTGTTAGTTACTTTTCATTCAAACCAGCTCAAGCTAAAAGGAGAACACAGATATTTACACACAGCTCCCAAAAAAGACAGTGCTACCTACCCCGAGAGAGAAGTAGGAAAACTTCCCAGTGTTTCTCCTGCTGACTTGCTATGGCCTTTAACCCAACTGTGGCCACTAAATTCTGTTTTCTGTCTGCGTGACACCTGAAGTTGCTCCTATTAGAAAGAAAATGCCTCTCAGTGGACCATGACAGCTTTTAGAGCCAAGCTCTCCTTTCAAATCCTCAACAGGATGAGTCGGATTAGTTTCAGAGTGAAAAGCTAAACTGATTTGGTTTAGGAGACAGTTGTGGCAGGAGACAGTTGTGGCATTTTTCTCCACTGAAATATGTAGTGGGTTACTTTATACTTAGGTAAATGCATACATTTGTTTTGTGGCTCAAGATTCATGTTCTGTACCTGGCTTCTTGCCCCAAGGAGGGGTAAAGTTCTCACTCTGTGATGCCTCAGTCTGTATATTTCAGTAACGAAGAATCTTTTTAACCAACATTTGCATTTAAATTCACTCTATACAAGAACATGCATGCTTGATACAAATGTCTAAATAGCAGGAATATATGTAGGCTGCTGGGCACAACGATAATTAACCACTCTTGGAATGACAAGAGGTTGCTGTTGATTAATGTCCAACAACTCTCATCCAAGGACTCTTTAAAAGAGCTCCCATTACTAGAACACTTCAGCATGATGCAGGAGATTGAATCTGCATCCCCCAAGGAGAGGGGGTTTCATACAGCCAGAGGAATTCTTCTGCAATTCCTGGTTTTAAATATTGTTTAAAACCCTGCCTTCAAAACAAGATGCTAGAGTGTGTACCAAAAATGAGCACAGAGCCATCTCAGTACCTCTGAACTACAGCCAGATCTGCAGCAGACCAGAGCTCTGCTACT